TTTACTTGAGATCATAAGGCTTATCTCAAAACCCATAATTATTATTTACTACAAAAATATTTACTTGACATCATAAGGCTTATCTCAAAACCCATCATTATTATTTACTACAAAAATATTTACTGGACATCATCAAGCTTATCTCACAACCCATCATTATTATTTACTACAAAAATATTTACTGGACATCATCAAGTTTATCTCACGACCCATCATTATTGTTTACTACACATGCTGTTTTAGTTACCATGTTGTTGTCTAGCTTTTGCAAGAGCTTAGATGTTTAGTCAGAATTGTTCGAAAGTTGACAGATGATTCAAAGACCAAATAATTATTGTTAACGTTTTACAGTAGATACTTCCATGGAGGTCTCTAATAACGTGTAAATTAAGTTTATTCCATAAATACTGAAACCATATCTTACTGAAAGGTTTTATTAGCAATGGACTGATAAAGCGGTGAGGGTGTTAGTTACCAGTTAAGAAACTCTTCTTTGAAAACAAACAAAAAAAAACGAAAATTATTGTTACTCTTAAGTTACAAATTTAAAAGAAATACATAACTATGTGTTTGTTTGTGAAACAAAATAAGACTACTTAACTTTACAATATGAAACATACTAACGTTAGATTGTTTAAGGAAATGATTCCACAAGCCGAGTACTACAATTTCGCGTTAAGAGGGCCAAATAAAAAAAATATATATACCCAAGTCTTGATTCTTACGAATAAACAGTAGTGAGCTTAAAAAAGATTGGATTTTGGTTTAGGGATCTTTAGATTTCTGGTTTATTTTTATTGTAATGTCTAATGAACTTTCTTTGATTTTGGTGGCGGCTAAAAGCAATCTGATGGCAACTACTAGCAGTAACTTCTGTTTATAGGAAAACAGTTGCAAGAAATATGCATTCTACAGGTAATTCTAGATCCGGCGTATAGGTGAGAGTGTCCTGGATTATTTCATTTTATTATTAAAGTACTAATAAATTGGCATTGAACCTGGTGCATATATTATTATTATAAGTAAAAATGATTTACAGTTGGTAAATTGTCATGAAAACAAAGTTTTCGTGTATCTGGTACATCTATTACATATTCTGAACATTGTGAAATACCAGGTTGTTTTATGCAATTCTGCTCATTTCTATGGGTAGGTTACAAATGTAAACAGAAATGGAGTCTCATTTGTCAAAGAAATGTTCAAATGATTAGTAAACGTGTTTGTGGAACAATAATCTTTCAGCTGCCTAATACTTTCTTTGTGCTGACACTGCGTTTTCCGCTTTATGATCTGACGTCTATCTAAGAAAAGAAAACTTATTATTTTTATCTTTAACGTATTTCTTTAGAAGTTTATTATACATTCGAAAATATAGAAAACGTTCTGTTTTTATTATCATATTTTTGTGTATTTACATAATTTAAAATAAATATATTAATTTGTGACTGTTTCTACTTACTTCTAGGTGTCGTTGATATCAAGAATTATCCCAAGTCCTGATTGGTTTGTCGGGATTGATAGCTTGGATCTGTGTTCTGGAGGGAATTGGATCGACACACTACGAGTTGAAGTAGGCCCAGTAGACGCTGGAACGGACGCTGGATTTACATTCACCGCTCCAGATTGGGAGTCAAAACCGAGACTAAAAATATCTCAAATCACAACACATCACCCAAGCCACCCAGCAAACTCTTTCTACTACCCTACGTTGCGAAAACTACCCCCTCTAGCGGCTTTTCATTTCACTAAAGTTAGTGTTTACAATCTCAACGAAACAATGTTTGTTGGAGGCGCCAACAACAGTCAGTCAGCCACAGAGGAAACTGTAGACCAAAGAGATAATCAAGACCAACAGGAGACGCTAAATGAAACAGATGTTTCTCAAGATAATAATCAAAACTCTATAGAAGAATCATCAGAAATCCTTTATGGAAATAGTCCACCTCACGATTTGTCAGACGACCCAACACCATCTAAATTTCGTATTGACAGGTTAAACAAACTAATTAAAAAAAGGAACAGAATACGGTTTGAAAAATTGCGGCGTCGTAAGTTCCTCATTGCTTAATTATTGAACATAAGTTTAGCCTCATTTACCAAAATAAACTTAAGTTGTTTGATTAAGGTGAAACAAGTCATATCACACTTTTTTAAACTGACACTAATTTATTAGTCATGACATGAAAATATTGTACTCTAGGCTTTCGTTGGAATTGTGGAATTGATCATGAACTTGCAGCCTTGTAGTTTAACATACACATTTGTTTGTTATTACTTAATTTATTTTAGTCAAAAGTATCATTATACCAGTGGCCATCTGTTTATGGTCTTCCTTATTAACTTTAAGAATGTTATTTTTCCTTCCGAATCACACGATTTTGTTAAACAAACCATCACTGATCAGTTATACTCATACAAATCTACTTTTCTTCAAATGTTTGTTTACCGCTGACACATCTTTCTAGACTGTCTGTTTCATTTTCAAAAAAATTCTCAACAATCATTAGTGTTCCAAGTTCAAGATTGTAAAAAAAAAATAGTTTTGCACATGTATTAGATATTCCTAATGCATGACATTAATGTAAAGACAAGTTTAAATATATATGATGATATCAAACTCATAAAAGACACCATGTTCTTGAGCATATATTCTTCTGGTAGTCTATGTATTACACGATGCTTTATATTATTTCATACAATCATTGTCGTTTTCTTTATAAACCTACAATTCTTAATTCAAGGATACATTAAGTACAAAAGTAACACTCTGGAGAGTAGATTTAATGAACAAATTTTACGTTAACATCGAATAATAAGTTTCTCTTGACTTCTTGCAGTTAAAACTGCACATTTCTACCTTTTATTTGTTCCATCTCATCATGCTCTTTCATCCTGTCACGTGGGTAATACTTTTTACATATATGTTAAGTTATTTGTGTCTTTCCTTTAGATCGCCCTCGACCATGCAAGGTTAGCCAATGGTCAGATTGGAGCAACTGTTCGAGGACCTGTGGATTTGGATATATGACGAGAGTCAGAAAAATCATCAGAAAACCTAAACATGGAGGAAAACCATGTCCTAAGCTGGTCGCTACCAGATGGTGTGGAAGTGCTAGAAATTGTCGCTCTTTGGAAAACAACTACTTTAGATGGTGATTAATCCTAACAAGACGCAGTATTGCTGGAAATTATTATGCTTTAGTAGGTCTTTAAAATGGCAAAATGTGTTTGAAATATTACGATAATTAATTTTTAGTGAATCCTATTTCAGATCATTTCCACAAGATGGCATAGCATCACAGACAGAAACTTATCCCAAACTGTAGAATTTCTGCTGGTAATTAATGAACATTGTAAAAGCTATTCTCAAAAAACTTTGATACCAGGTTACAGTTACATCCCAGGTCACAGGTACACCAATACTGATTACATGCGATTACATGCAATCAAGTCTAGAGGGAAAAAGTTAATAAAAACCAGATAAAAAAGTAATATTATATTTGAATGAAGCTTCTTGAAAATTTTAGGGTCAACAGAAAAACAAAATATGATAATTTTTTCTTTCTAGCAGTCTTTTACACCTTCTCTTTACGTTTAGTACAGACTATGCATTCTAGCCCACCTTCTGATTCTGTTCGTAAATCTAATCAGTCTTTAACAGTAAGTAAATGCAATAGAGTAATAGAACATTGAAAATTTTTGTATAACTATTTACACAAATATACATTAATTTTAGAAACTGAATTGTTAGCGGGTAATTGCAGTTTTAATAAAGAAGATCAAGAAAGTTTTGATTTGATCCAAGAAAATTTAATATTTCTGTCTTATTTAATAGGAGATTAATGAACCCATTTGATCCATTGTAATTATTTAAATGATTTCTTCAGTTTGTTGTTCCATCGGTAATGATTATATTTCATATAAATAGTAATTGATTTCAAATAAAATTCTAATTGCCAAAGATGGATTATACTTTAATCTGAATCGACATTAATAAATGTTGTTTTCTATTTTTTATGTGTTTTTTCAAAGAAGAAAAACACAATAAAATTGCTTACTTTTAACCTGCTGATAGAAGACAGTTTGAATGAGTGAATACAGGGAAAATTAAATGTTTTAGACTGGATAGATACACCACAAGAAATCATAACTGATATTATGTTATTAGAACTGTTGTGCTTTTAACCAGTAGATGATATAAACGAGGTATACCCTGTTCCTATTGGAAGTCATATCCCACCGATCTCGCAAAGAAAAATAACTAAGGTTATAAACTGAAACCAGAAACATTAAATAAATTAATGTTGAAGTATTAATGTTATACTTAAGTGTAGTATGAAAGTGCCCTGTCTTATTGTAGTTGTGTGCTTATTTAATGTACTGTCTCTGTTGTTAAATAGACTGTTTTGTATACAAATGTCAACTATATAATGCTATAGTTGTGCATATCTAACCACTTTATAAAGGCTTTTTTAAAGCAACACAGATAAGTTGTAGTTATACTGTAAAATATCGCTTTAAAGGGACAGAAAAATAAAATACAAAATATACATTCAGTCTATTTTGACGTTATTTTGAGAAAAAAACATTTTTCGTTCTACATGATTATAAGTTACCTCTCAATCTTCAAAACATAATTATTCAAAGTATCGTGCAACATAGTTCAGAAGATATTTTCATATTCCAAATTGTCATGAAACGTACTTAAAAGATTTTTTTACCATTCCACATATTTACAAAACCGGTTTTAAAGTATATTTTATAATTCCAAATTATCATAAAAACCGGTTCAGAATATATTTTAGAATTCCAAGTTTCCATGAAAGTATTTTTATGATTTCTCAGTTTGTCGTGAAATCAATTTCAGGTTATATACTCCTCTTCGAAGATGATATGCATCTGGTTTCATAATATATTTTACTGGTTCAAGTTGTCATTAAGCCACGAATATAGAAAATGTAACACACACACATCAACAAATATATCAACTAAGGTCACAATTTCGATTCTGTCTCTTATTACACAGGGCGTGAACTTAATGAATAATGTGTCTGACCGTGAATCTAAAGGTCCATGGTTCGCAAAATTGCACTTTAGAGCTGCGGATGTGTTATAAAAATGATAGCCAAATCCTAATATTCGATTAGAGTAGACCAAGAGTTGTAAGTGGATGCTGTTGACTAGCTGCCTTTCCTCTAGTCTATCAACTCAAAATTAGGAACAGTTAACACTTGTGTATTTCTGTGTGAATATCCGAAAAAATAAAATACAGATAATCAAACTTATTACACTGTTAATATTCCATTCATTTCTATTCCAGTAAAATAATCAACATTCGTAATGACTAAAAAAAGTTAACAGAGACGATGAATTTGTAAAATTATGATGTTAAAATGGTTATTAGCATTTTTTTCTTTTTTGAAAGATTTTGTAACCACGAAACAAAACTAATAACGAAGATATGATCTAGCAATATTCCACCGAGCATGATGGGAGATTTTAGCTTTAAGAACGTTATAACCGTGACATTCGGTTCAACTATTCAACTATAGAAATGGCTATACCTAAAAGTTAAGAGACTTGGTCATTTATTCCTTGTATCGCATCAGAATAAATACCAGATGGCGTATATAAATAGTACGATAAGTATTATTAATTTAGTAAACATTAGAAGTTATGTCAAACGGCTGAAATAACTACTCCAGTTTTACTTTAATAACAACTTATATTTTGGAAACAATATTTCAGCTAATTAATTAAGAGAGAAAATAATAAATGTTCATTCAAACTTTTTTCTATGTAAGACCTGCCATCTGTTGGCAATATCTTACTATGGTAGAAACTTTAAAATAGTAGTAGCTCCAAGCAGCGGCTACTTCTGACTGCTTACCTTCCCTCTGGTTCGAAGTTTAAAATTAGGGACATCTACGCCAGAACTACATGGGTCTTTGAATTGGCAGTTTTGTACATTGCTTGTGTAATTTGTTTAAGTGAATAAAATAGACAAACAAATTTGTAACTTTGAAAATAAAAAATGTGAATGAAGGTTTTTCTGGTATTTAATTAGGTTCGTTGATTCTACATAGTAATACCACCAAGAACTCTAGTTTATTACAATGATTCAGGATGATCAGAAACTCCAATATGTGTAGAATGTACTATTCACGTGTATGAAATGTTTTAAAGTTCAAAAACTATAAGGCTATTTTTTATGATGAAATCCATAGTAAAATGACTTACCTTTTTACGTGTATTCAAGCAGCTAATATTCAGTAACATTTATTGTTATGACCTATTTGCCTGTATCGCAATTGGCCTAATTTTTAACGAAAATAGCCAATATGACATTTACAATACAATAAATTATACAGTAATTTTCCTATAGTTGATTTGGTTAAAAATGAACAGTTATTTTAACAGGTTAAGATATATATTTGAAACCGAAATCTTATGATATCTGAACTTTTCCTTATTTTCTCAAAGCTATGAGAGTGCTTGAATGCGAATTTCCAAAAGTTTTCTCTTCTTCTTGTAAAAGATGCAACTGTATGATAACTGAAACCTGCATTGTCACTGTTTAAAATATATGAAACTTAACAGCAGGAATAACATTGTTTGAAATGTAGTTAGTTACTTGGGAGAGCTTCAGGGTGTTTTGACAATATTACGTGTCTGCTCAGTTTGAAATTTAGACTGGAGGTAACTGAGACCTGAAACTTAAGATCAAACTAATCTTTACTTGGTTTCCATGGTAATAATGATTATAATTCGCTAGCAAGTTTTTTTTGATATTTAGAAAAGATTACTTAACTTTATTTAGCTACTGCTTAACCTTGACGCATAATGATGGTTAATGATACATCATGATGGTTAACTAGTTATTATAATTTCATTTTAACCTCTGTACGATCTATAATGTGATATCTGTTGCACAAGCTTAACAAATACTATGTTTTTAGGCAAAGCAGGAAGCAACTTCAAATTCACTTTTTTTGTTATTTGTTAACCTTATAATAACCTTTCATCATTACACCACAACACATTGAAACCTGATCCATACATAACTGATTACTGTGATTAGTCAGTTACTTTTCCAGCACAAAGAGTAAGCTGTTGATATTCTCCTCTCCCCTACTTGTCACGAAAAACGTTCCACTCGATAATAAAATGGAATAGTCAGCACCTAATACGAACGCAATAACCTATTAAATTGACGTAAATATATAATAAGAAATATTTCACTGAAATCAGGAATTCAGTAGCTACAGTTACTTTTGAGGATTACAAGTTGGTTGTTTTTTATTCGTCAGATCACAAACATATCCTGTGACTGTATGCAGAGAAAGTAGACACACGAGGTCAATTAGCAAGGCAGGCTACAAGGATATAGCTGTAAAGGTAGACATACAAGAATCTATTTAGCAGGTTAGACATTCACGAATTTAATTAGAAAGGTAGAATACAAGACTCTAATTAGCAAGTTAAACATACAATGATCTAATTATTAAGGTAGACTACAAGAATCTAATTAGGAAGGTAGACATAAAAGGATCTAATTAGCAAGTTAAACATACAAATATCTAAATATCAAAGTAGACTAGGGTCTAATTAGCAAGGTAAACTTAAAAGGATCTAATTAGGAAGGTAGATATACTAAGAGCCAATTATCAAAGTAGAAATACGATAATATAATTAGCAAGTTAAACATACGATAGTCCGACTCTTGATTACTGCGCTATATTTTCACAGGTTTGAGGACCAACTACTGTAACCATGAACATTTCGACTTCATGAGAACAAGTTCCACAATTTTGAGAACGTCTACAAGAGGTGGGGGGACACTAACAACCTTAAGTACTCCATGCGTTCTGCATGGTCTTGTTAGTTGTTAGATTAATTTTAAAGTGTTTAGATAAAATCACTTTTTCTCAATTAGAAATTTATAGTCGAAACTAAAAATTTTAATAATAATAATCTAATTTTAATAATAACATTTCTGGCTTTGGTCTACACTTTACACGATAGAAAGATCCTTATCCAACTCTCATTCCCCTTTGATATTTCATAGTACCTTGGAATACGAATGAAAGTAATAAAACCTAACTCAAAAATTACCAGATATTCGAACATTGGTTTTGATACGCATACTTAGACAGTTTCTCGGATGTTCGTGTCCATGGTGATTACTATCCACTGATAATATAAACTTCAACATGTTTTCTTTTCTTAAAACACGAATACGATATATGTTTATGTACAAGACAAAACTGCACCCACCATTGGCGGCGCGTGAGTCTTTGGTTTGTATAAGCTTGTGGAAGCTATACAGTTGAGAAGAGCCAGTTTACGCTCCTAAATAAATGAATTCTTCTCTATGACCCCATACACCATCTTTTGCTCTTTTTCCACATATACTGTATAAGGTTTAGTGTTGGTGAGAATAATGCCCTGTGACGGACAGTTTGTTGGAGAGGATAAACGTCTTATACGCGCTGTCCCTGGTACCCACATTGGAATTCTGGTAAGCCTAAACTTATCTAAATGTTGCCTCTTATATTTATTTTTTCTTCGCTCCAATTCGTTTTATTATAACCAATTCATAACGATATTTGAAAGATTATGGCTCCAAAGTAAAATGTTGGTAGGAAACCGAAACTGTTGTGTATTTACTTCAACTAGTTATCATGACTACTAACATTTACTTATAGTAGATTCATTGTAATCTACCTACAGTTAATATATTTTTCGTCTTGTATTTGTCATTTTTAACATGAGCGGCACCTTATGCGACAATGGGCTAAACGGTCCAATCAGAGACCCCAATATTCAGAAATAGCTGTTTCTAATTATGATCTACTCATCAGGTGGGGGATGTAACTGGTAATTCTCAGGAATACCTACCACGTACACAGCTACTCTTGACAGAATAGCAGGATTGACTGTCACACTTATAACGCTCCCACAGCCGAAAGAGTAGAGCATTTTCAGTGGCATACCGCAGACTCAAGCCTTGTACTTTTCGACTCATAGTCTAACACTCTAGACTAATGGACTATTATCTTGAATTTAAAAACTATCTGCTTGAAGAACTCGTCTATTTAACAATTTTACGAGACAAAAATCACTTCAATATATGCCGTTAAACTTTGTCTCCCGTTTAGAATAAGTCATTTTTATATGTTCCAAAGTTCTAGAAAGATACCTCCGCCGTTGTCAAACTGCTTCGAAAATTAAAAGATAGATTTTTATCGGCAAAACGTAAACTTATAGATTTTCTTGTGAGATAAAGAAGAATCAAACTTAACCTAGTCTGATGTTTTCACTAGTGATTTTATTTTGTTTTTTGGTCAACGCAGATGTTTTGTTTTTCAGTAGAGCCTCGGGCCGGCATGGCCAGGTGGTTCGGGCGTTCGACTAGCTTGTTCGTTTTGTAATTAAGCACAAAGCTACACAATGGGCTATCTGTGCTCTGCCCGCTACGGGTATCGAAACCTGGATTTTAGCGTTGTAAGTCCGCAGACATACCGCTGTGCCACTGGGG